CAGTGAGTCTTTATTCAGTCCAGTGATTCAGTGAGTCTTTATTCAGTCCAGTGATTCAGTGAGTCTTTATTCAGTCCAGTGATTCACTGAGTCTTTATTCAGTCCAGTGATTCACTGAGTCTTTATTCAGTCCAGTGATTCAGTGAGTCTCGACTCAGTCCAGTGGTTCAGTGAGTCTTTATTCAGTCCAGTGATTCAGTAAGTCTTATTTCAGTCCAGTGATTCAGTGAGTCTTTATTCAGTCCAGTGATTCAGTGAGTCTTTATTCAGTCCAGTGATTCAGTGAGTCTTTATTCAGTCCAGTGATTCAGTGAGTCTTTATTCAGTCCAGTGATTCAGTGAGTCTTTATTCAGTCCAGTGATTCAGTGAGTCTTTATTCAGTCCAATGATTCAGTGAGTCTTTATTCAGTCCAGTGATTCACTGAGTCTTTATTCAGTCCAGTGATTCAGTGAGTCTTTATTCAGTCCAGTGATTCAGTGAGTCTTTATTCAGTCCAGTGATTCAGTGAGTCTTTATTCAGTCCAGTGATTCAGTGAGTCTTTATTCAGTCCAGTGATTCAGTGAGTCTTTATTCAGTCCAGTGATTCAGTGAGTCTTTATTCAGTCCAGTGATTCAGTGAGTCTTTATTCAGTCCAGTGATTCAGTGAGTCTTTATTCAGTCCAGTGATTCAGTGAGTCTTTATTCAGTCCAGTGATTCAGTGAGTCTCGACTCAGTCCAGTGGTTCAGTGAGTCTTTATTCAGTCCAGTGATTCAGTAAGTCTTTATTCAGTCCAGTGATTCAGTAAGTCTTTAATCAGTCCAGTGATTCAGTGAGTCTCGACTCAGTCCAGTGATTCAGTGAATCAGTAAGGCTGTTTCTCAATATTAAGTGCGCAAAGTTCCGACTTGCTTCCTTGGAGGTTCAGAGCTAGTTCAGACTTGGAAGAACAAACAGAGGATGCGAGAACACAAGTCGGATACTTCAAATGGAACGGCAGTGTACTTTTATGACGTCACTTACCTCACCACACTATACATTAACAATACAATGATTCATTATAGAAAGCACGGCCTAATAATCAATATTATATTAATATCATAAATCTGTCTTATTGATTAAAGTAAAAATAAACGTAAATCACCATAAATGTGGAGTGAAATGAGGTGTTGTACACACTCGTGTCTTTGATTATCAGATTTAACTACAGTGGACATTATACAAGTGTAAAGTACAAGACGGACACAATTATTCATAAAGATAACATTAAGCAATTTAGTAAACAAAGACAAACAGCGAACAACACGGCAACATGATTAAAGACGATAATAAAAGTAACAAAATTACCCAGCTGAGAACAAATAATAGATTATAAGACCAAAAACTGTCCGTTAGATTTGCACAAACTGTGTTAATAACATGACTGAACTGCAGTGGAGAGATGAGATCCAGCGGTACATCTGAGATGGGCTGGCTGAAGTAAAGCTGCTCTCTGTGGGGAGGTGATGACGAAGCTCCCGCTGACAGGCTGGGGGTCAGAGTCTGCATAAGCTGATGACGATCGCCAAAGAAACAAAATCTTTATGAATAAACTGCTGAATCGAGTTTAAAACAACTACATTCTCTCCTGAAAACTCTTAACCTTATTTTGTGACGCAGTAAAGGAGGAACCGTGTGGGTTTCCTCCTCCGCCATTAGCTTTCGCTGGTTATGCTGCAATGCATTCTGGGATACCTGAGCCACGCAAGTTTGCACAAGTCACCTCTCGAAGCATCCTTGGCCAAAGGGGCAGAGCAAGTACACATCCGGGAGTTTCATCTGTACTTGGCAAGATGTGAACTTTGGGACAGTACTTCAGCGACGGTTGATGACATTTCACGAGGACACAAGAACGCATACTGAGAAACAGCCAGAGTCTCGAATCAGTCAATTAAATCAGTGAGTCTCAACTCAGTCCAGTGATTCAGTCAATCAGTGAGTCTCGATTCAGTCAAGTGAATTAGTGAGTCTCAACTGAGTGCAGTGAGTCAATGAGTCTCGATTCAGTCCAGGGAATGGGTGAGTCTTAATTCTGTCCATTGTCTCAGTGAGTCTCGAAATCTCTCCCAAGTGTGCCACATGCCTGCTTTTGAGTGAAGATCGCCCCCTGGCAGTGGTGTAAAGCAACTAACTACGAATACTCAGATTACTGTAACTGAGTAGCTCTTCTCAGGAATTGTATTTTACTACTACACTTATAAACCTGTGGTTTTCCCGTGATTCCCGCCAGTCATACAATTAGACGCATTAAAAGTGTTCAAGAAGATGTCCAAATCTTCACACACACTGACCCAGAGACTGTTCAGATGCAGGTCCTGATGAGATGATGGCAGAAGTTTACTGCACTCTGTAACATCAGAAAGGTCCGACCCTTCCTATCTGAACATGCAGCTCAACTCCTTGTTCAAGCTCTTGTTCTCTCCAAACTGGATTACTGCAACTCTCTACTAGCCGGGCTTCCAGCTAACTCTATCAAGCCTCTTCAGCTCTCCAGAACGCAGCAGCACGAGTGGTCTTTAATGAAGCTAAAAGTGCACATGTCACTCCGCTGCTCATCCGTTTGCACTGGCTGCCAGTTGCTGCTCGCATCAAATTCAAAGTTCTGATGTTTGCTTACAAAGCGACTTCTGGCTTTGCTCCTCCTTATCTGCTCTCACTTCTGCAGATCTATGTGTCCTCCAGAAACTTGCGTTCTGTGAATGAACGTCGCCTCGTGGTTCCATCCCAAAGAGGGAAGAAATCACTTTCCCGAACTCTCGCACTCAATCTGCCCAGTTGGTGGAATGAACTCCCTAACTGCATCAGAACAGCAGAGTCACTCGCTGTCTTCAAGAAACCACTAATAACTCAACTATTTAGTCTCCACTTCCCTTCCTAATCTGCAATTGCCTCTCTGACTCCACCACTAACTGTACTCAAAAAAAATAAATAAATTACTAATGCTTTCCTTCTTAGACTTCACACACCTGAAACTCGCCTACAGCACTTATTCACTGTTGCTCTTATAGTTGTGTAAATTGCTTCCTTGTCCTCATTTGTAAGGTGCTTTGGATAAAAGCGTCTGCTAAATGACTACATGTAAATGTATGATGACCCAAATGCGTTTTGTTTGGAGATGAAATCGGTTTGATGTCAGAACTCACTGTCAGGTCGACGTCAGTGTCCACTGTCCAACCAAAAATCAACCAAATATCATCATCATTTGTCGTCATTATTGGACATCATAATAAGATCGTCCTCAGACGCCGGCTAGACACAGAACTTTGGTCACCTGACATCACAACCTAAATCTAACCTAATATTAACGTCTTCTGATGCTGTTTGCCTTTGTACTCTGGACTGCTCTTGATCACTCTTGAAAGCTCTGCTGTTTGCTCATGCAGTGCAGGAGAGTAACAGTGTCTGCTGTGAATATCACTCAGAGGATATTTAGGCAAGTGATGCTGCTTTAACGCGAGTATGATTATTCAGTATGATTATGATTATTCAGTATGATTAATACCGCTGGGTCACGGTACGGGCGGCAGATGAGCAGTACGGGGGCGTGGCTGATTTGACACACAAGCGTTTGGTTGGAAGCTTGATTCCTTGGCTCCGCCTCCAGCTCCATCAGGCAGTCTTCTGCACATGCCCAGACTCCAGGTTCAGCAGTGTTTCCCTCAGTGTGTGTCCGTCACGAGGCGCTTCACTACGCAAGTGTTCAATGAGAAAACCCACACCGTCACATCGTCCATATCATTCACTGGCATTGGTCTCTCCTCAGTGAACAGAGGTGTGTGTGTGTGTGTGTGTGTGTGTGTGTGTGTGAGTGTGTGTGTGTGTGCGTGTGTGTGTGTGCGTGTGTGTGCACGTGTGTGTCTGCAGTCAGAGTGTGATCAGGTTGTGTTTCTCCGCAGTTC